CAGACAAGCTCTAACGCCAATGCATTTTTTTCTACCACCAGAGGAAGTACACAAGAATGCAGATCCTGAGAAGAATGCCATTGTAGACCAGATTTGCAAACTGATGTCTCATAGACAGAGTAGAATCTTTGGTCGTATCTTTTACTAAAAGTTCAATAATCTATAAATATGCATAATTTGGAGATTTCATATAAACCTTGGAATTTCTGGATTTTCTTATAAAACACCCCAAAAACAGAAGAACTGGGCCATATTAGCTCACCAATGCTAAGTGGGAGTAATAGACTAGGACCAAATGCTGCCTGCTGGAACCTGCCAGGTACAACATCGCTACCCTAATCATGTGTGCTTTGGCAGTGACATGAGACCGTGGTTAGCTAACTAGTGTTACTTGGCTAGCTCCTGTTGGCATATATATCTTGTAGGCCCTGGTTGGGAACTACTCATGCAGTAATTATAATTTTCTTATTTATAAAACAGTAATTGACTCACAGACGTAGAAAACAAATTTATGGTTACCGAGTGGGGAAGGAGAGGTTGGGATAAATTGGGAGATTGGAACTGAAATATTCACATACTATATGCAAAATAGATAAGTCATAAGGATCTGCTGTATTACACAGAGAACTCTATTCAACACTCTGTAATGACCTATATGGGAAAAGAATCTAAAGAGTGGATATATGAACATGTGTGTGTGTGTGTGTGTATAGCAGATGATTCTCTTTGCTGTACAACAGAAACAATATTATTAACATAATAATAAATATTGATAATAATTAATTTAAAATATAATTACAGATCATATTAATAAGCCATTTTTAACCCCTCTGTAAACAATGGCCACATATCCATGTTGTTGAGAACCACTGTCATAAGGAAAGTCTGGCCTCAGGTTTTTCCTCATGGCATGAGTGGAATCTACTCTGGGCTTAGAGCCTCTCTAAGGAGGTGGGAAGTAGAGCTAGACTATAAATATATTCAGTTATGTTTGGGGTCCTGGCTTTCATGTTTGATAATTGGTTATTATTTTCTTAAATAATGTAGCTAGCTACCAAAATCAATATATGAGAGCTGAACATTTTCTTTTTGAAAATGAAACAAACTACCTAAGGAAATAAAATAAATAAATGAGAGCCACTGTGGGCCAAAGATGTCAGCATAATGTAACTTCCACTGGGAAGCTTCTGAGATCTTTTATAAGGAAAAAATATCCTGAACTATTCAACGTAAAATCTTAAAATCTTTATTAGCAGGAGATTTGTGTGTGTTGGTGCAATTAGTGGCTTCCTCTTAAATTTACTTTGAAGTGTTAACATGATTTTATTTTATCACTTTTGTATAATGTCCAGGGGCACTACAAAATCATATTCTATCACTACTGCATGAGCTCTGAGTCTCTACATTCCTTAGAATGCCTTTTACATTGCTTTCTTATATTTATAAACAAGGTGGAAGTGACTTGAGCCCTAGAATTTGCTAGATACTAAATCTTTTATTTGGAAGGTAGTCAGTGAAAAGAGACATGATACACTTTGTCAAGCAAAACCAAATAGATTTTGAAATGGGACTGTCGAGCTTAATTAAAACAGAAACTCATTCATGATGTGATATTTGACCTTTCAAGGAGGAGTGCATGTCCCATGCAGGTGAGGAATGTGTGAATTGTGTCATATAAACAGTTTTTATACCCTTCATAACTTATTTTACCAGTAACAATGCAAAGTGGCATAATATACTGCACTATAAAATCACTATATTGCTTGGTGAAAGTTACATGGGATTTGATCGGAAAAAGATATGAATTGTGTGTTGGTGAAAACATTCCTCATTGTTCTATAATGGGAAAAAAGTAGCTAAACATCTCAGTGTGCTTGCCATGTCCGTTTATGGGTAAATGCGGTTACACACAAAAAAAGTCAGCAAATAAGCTTTACCTTCCTTGAAAATCTTTGTCTTATGAAATAAGTCATATTTCCCTTTCACCATGAGAAAGGATTTGGATGAAACCCTTGGCATTTGCTCTAATTATGTTATAATATTATTCATCATTCTTGACTCAAAAGCTCAGTATCTGTATTAGTCATACCACTCTGAGCCCTTTATTAACCAGAAATACATGATATACTTTTTAATTCAGATTCAATAGGCAGATGGTAGTTACTGAAAATTCCCCAAACTGCTGCAAGTTAAATTTAAACACAAGTTGACGGTTCACACATTTTTGGTAAGGGACTTGGATAAATGGAAACTGAATTTGATGACATTTACAAATATTTTCACTGTTTTCTTGGATGATTGCTTGATTCAGATGTGGTCTTTTCCTTTTTCCCCCTTTCTCTTTCCTTCCAACTCTTTCCCAGGGAATTTACTGCCTTAAGATAACAACAGGAGATGAACTAACAGACATGGACCTCTAGACTGGATCTTTCATTGACTTACAGGCCCTGGTTACAGAACTGAAAAGGCTGTGAGCCCCACATATTGAGAATCATGAGTACAGTCTACATGTGTGAGGCCATAGAGAAGAAAAAATTTTCTCGTTGGATTTGTTTATTCAGGACAAACACGCTTCAAAGGGTAATCCAGAAAATACTAATCTTATAGAAAAGGCCACATGGTCAGATATTTTGGGCAGTAATAAGGCTTGCAGAGCTTTTTTTTTTTAATGGAAATAGTTTCATTTTGGTTCATCCTATTTAAGAATGTTAGAAGATTGTATGTAAAAATCCAGACTTCTTGTTCTCTAGAAAAACTGAAGACATGACAATAATTTCTTGCAGCTTTCATTGTCAGCAAACGAGTGCTTCATTAGTCAAGGACCACTCAACATGCTTGGATTCTGGAAGCCTTTTACTTTACTCCCTCTGTTTTAGTCTTTTTTGAGGACACACAGTATCTTTTGATGTATTAAAGGCTCTGAGAATCCTTTTCAATACTTCTACTTTATTTTGTTGAAAAAAATTTCCCTAATATATTTAATTATAGAAGTCTCTTGCTCCACATTTTGGGAGATACTGTTCTAGATAAATCTTTGGGTTTATGACTTCAGTTTTCACCTCTGAAATTTATAGATGAAATCAATTTGTAACATATTACATGGTACATGGATATGGACCACAAAATGCAAGCAATTCTGAATTGTTGGTATGAATTTTATGCTACCTCCTAGAAAATATTTGTTAAAGTGATTAGGAAGCTCAGATTTTGCAATAAGGTTTTTATTTCCATTTTTGGATGCTTCTATAGGCATTCAAGATGCAGAACAAATCCACCTAGTGAGAGTATTTATATATTCAATCAGATTTCAAGGTATATTAGAAGAGATGAAGGAGCCTCTGGATTTTACCCAAAGGTTAACTGAAAAATCCACTCTAGGAGACCCACTGTGCCACTGATCTAGTAACAGGCCCTAATAACACATATTCTGGAGAAAAGACTTTGGAGGAAAAAAACATACTTGCAGTGTGATATGATAAGTAACAGGAATGTACAGTAATATTATGTTCTACCAAAGTGCTAACATAATATCTACTTAAACAAGAATTTAAGTAGATAGTCTTTCCTAAAAGTGTCAGCTAAGTAACTCTAAAAAAAGAATATGGACACAAACTGATCTTTGGGGGACTGAACCCTGTATGTATCATCCAGGTGATCACTACGGAAGCCCAATAATAGGATTTGACATTTCATCTTGCTGGCTGAGAACACTGAACTTCTAGTAATGAATTTCTAGTTTTTAAATTATTAGGGTTGGAAATATTGGTTATGATATCAGCAATGACCTTGTGCAAATAATTCTGGTGGACTATGTGTCACTACATGAACGTTCTCTGGATTTGGCTAACTCTGATTGAGGAAAAATAAATGGCAAATGAAGAGGACACAATGATTTAGAAAGAAGTTATTTACCACTTTAATAGGGCTGTCCAACATTTGGTCACACAGATCATTCTGAAACCTAACTGCTTTAACAGTCTTTCCATCTCACCAGAAGAGATCTCTGAACACTCTTGGAAAAATCAAATCAAATATAGAAAGAGGCCATGATAAGACTTGTTGCTACAGCACTATGTTATTAATGATGTCAGACTTTGGATTTAATCGGAGGACATTTCTGCAGTTTAGGATAGCTATACAAAGCCTTAAGACACTGTATTTACAGAACTTAATACAGGGATCCATATTTGACCATCACTCTGCCAGAGTCTTAACAGCATGGTGGAGTGGCTCCCTCAAGAATCCTCATTTTTCTTATCTGTGGAAAAGCTAGTAGTTCTAAAAATATTTTCCTGGAAGAGGTTTAGAATGGTTATTATATATCAATTGAATATAAAGTATGGTTATGTAAGCCAAGCTTGCATGCTAATATTGCACAGGATAGAAAACAATAAATCAGGATGATGTGCTTCCTTGGGCCATCTGGTAGAAACAGAAGGAAGCTCTTGACTTGGTTGTTTTGATGCCTCAGATTCCAGGAGTCCACCTGTAGCTGGCCTTCCAGTGCCAGTGCCATGCCGACCTCTCAAAAGGGCACATGTTTTCCTTGCCGATAGCAAAAGAAATGACAAGAAAACAAAACAAAACATCCAAAACTCAAAGAGGTACACCAGCCATCTCAAACTGTGCTACAGTTCATTTCTTGAAGAGAATATATAATATTTCAAAATATTATGTATATACATGTATTTCAAGTGGTACAAAGTAACTGTAGATCCAAATGAGAAGATAGTTGATCGTTCTTCGTAATCCCAAAAAATTTGCATTGAGAAAACCCATTTTTTTTTTCTTAACCCACTTTCCATGGTACCGCCAAAACTTCAGGTCTTCTCACTCTAGGATACTCAGTGATACACAGTAAAAGCACTGTGCTTATCTGGTAATCAGTCAAAGTGCAAATAAGAAATCCATTTGGCTTCTAATGTATAAGATGTTTTAACTTTTTAAAATGTATTTTCCACAAAGTTGGCTTTTCTTTATTACTGTAACAAATGCTTCCGTTAGGTTCTTGGGTGAATCTGAAAGCAAAGAGAGAAAGAAAGAAATTTCAGGAAGAAAAGAAGGAAAAGAAGGCACGAAGAAAGAGGATTAGGAGGAAAGTTAAGGACACCATGAATTTTTAGGATGTTGCTTCTTTCAAGTGCACTGAAATAAAAAATGTTCAAGTCTAGAGCAGTAGTTTTCAAACGGTGATCAAAGCACATGCACAGGCCACCATATTTGTATCAATTCATTAATTTTTGCCACAAGTGAGGACACAGACTCTTGGAGCAATGGCTAAGCAGGACTGCGGTCATGGGCATGCAACCTACGTAACTGTGGGGAGCCCTGCGCCGAAAAGGACCTTGCACTTGGTTTAATGACCCGCAACTGCCATCTTGAAATTCTTAGTAATTTTTAAACAGGGGTTTTGTGTTTTCATTTTGCACTGGACTCTTTCTGTAAATTATGTAGTTATTCCTATGTCTGTCTGACGAGAATTTCATGAGAAGGAAATTCCTTAGCTTTGTCATGTTGGTCGCTCGTAAGATGCAGAGGGGTGGCATAAGGTGAAGTCATCGCCAAGATTGGATCACACTTGTTGAGGAATTTAAGAGATCTCTACAAGGCGAGAAACTGTTCTACTCAAACAAATGATATAATTTTCAAGGGCAATCAATGGCAACTTCTATAACTACTGATGTCATTCAATCCATTCAAATAATGATCCCAAAGACTCATATTCAGAAGGATGCATGCATGAGGAATCACTGGTTTAGAGCGTGACGATGGTTCTAATAAAGTTGAAGGTTCTATTTTAGAGTTCTAGGACTTAAAACAGTTTTCTTCATCATCTCTTAATTCTCTATAGTTTTAGAAACTGAGTATTCTGAGTCCAGGGGTGAAGTCCATTTAAAGCGTTCAGGGTTAGGTAGGAATGGTAATACATGCTTGCATTCAAAAGTTGTTTGGGCCAGGGGCAGAATGTATAAGAAAACTTCACACATTTATTTTTTTGACTCTTTCCATATAAATAACAGATCCTTTCAAACTTTGGTTTCCTATAGTCCAGTGGTGTTTATGACATTTGTTTTCACTGTCTTCTTTTCCACCAAAAGGAAGGAGAAAGGGACGTTTCTGAAACTGACTTGGAATTGCCTTTTAAAAAAAAATTTGTAATGACCCTCCCTCTCCCCCATCCCACCCGACCTTAGGCCCTATCCTCCATAGAAGACCAGGGGCCATGTCATGACCATCATCACATTCCCAAGACTTTAACTTTAGATAATAGAGGTTTAATACTATTTATTAAAGAAATGAATGAGTACACCTGGATCATTGTGGCAATTTTGATAGCATAGTTTATTCTTTAAGAAGATAGTTTACTCTTCCTTCCTGCAGTCTCTAAATACCACTCCCACTCCAGCCTCCCCTCTTTCCCCATCATCTCTCTCTCTCAAAGGCATTTCTTGCAAAACGAATGGACTAGAGATCAAGACTGTAAAGACTCTCAGAACCTTTCACGCCTAGTGGCATTTTGAGTGAAGAAGCTGGAATATGTCAGAGCTGGTATTTTACTCCTCAGTAATATATTAAAAAAAAAAAAAAAACCAACACTGGGGTGATTAGAATGGGTGGAGACACGCAAAGCCATTAGGAGGATAAGGCCAGGAGGCTGTGGACAAATGACTGGTGAATTGTGTTGGGTAAGTCACAGGGCATACCACATCTGAAAAGATGGCTATTGTGGTTAGGTGTGTAATCTGAGGGGTTAGGTTGCAAACTGAGGTCTGTAACTTTCTCTTTTAGGGAATAAGACTCTACAGTGTACTCTAACTGTTGATCTCCTCACTAATGTGAAAGACATTAACATACTGGGATGAAGGAAATCCAAAAAGTTGCTTGATATTTCCCCAGATATAAAACCAGATTACCTTCTGGTATTTTAATCTACTAATTTTCCTTCCTGAGTGATTTTGGATTTGTCCTCCTTTTATTCCCTTCCTCTTCTTGTCCCCAGACAATCATTGTTCACTTTCTACACATAAGTTATTACAGCATTGTCAGACAACTTATTTCCTCAAAGGGGAAGTCTAGCTTTCTGAATTAAGTCATTATTCCTGAATACACAAGGTAGTAGATTCATTTTTGAATACATGAAATATAGCCTCTTCACCTTTCACATTTATGCTTTTCCTCCATCAGTTTAAAGAAAAGAGATAAGCCAATGGGCATATAAAACCATAGGAAAAAAAATCTCTAGTCAATATTTAGGCAGGTTAGTCTTACTACAAACTACCTACAAAGCAATGTAATCAAAAAACTGAAGCCATGATTAAGTAGGAACAGGGTTAAAATTTAGCCAACTTATGTTTTTCATATATCAGTTCAAAGAAAAGGGATAAACTAATGGATATCTAAAACCATAGGAAGAAAATCTCTAGTCAATATTTAGGGTAGTTTAGTCTTGCTCCAAGTTCCTAACAAAGCAATTTAATAAACCAACTGAAGCTATGATCAAGCAGGACCAGTGTTAAAGTTTAGCCAAGAAGCTTCACCCAGATGCACCAAGCTTCTTCTCAGAAGGCATCTATTTTACTGTACCCATGCCATGTTTTTGGAACACCTCTCAAGTGTGATTACTTTCTCTCTATACTGTCGCATTCAGGAAGTTTCCTCTTTCCCTATGATTTATTCTGCCAAGTCTCCTGAAAGGGAAGCCTCTGCTTGATTCTACTTATCTTCTCTCCTTCCTTCTGAATTTTATTGTCACCCAGATCCAATTTCCCCAAGATTTTCCTTCAGACTGTGGCCTGTTACCCTGGCTAGTCTATATTCTGTGGTGTCTGGTGGTTTAAATGAAACACTGAATTTCTACTCTCCACCTTCCTTAAAAAATGAGCATCCTAAAAATTTAAATTAGAGCACACTTTAAACCATCTTTTGTTTATCTACATTTGAAAAAATGCTGAGAATTTTGGCTTAGGATGATTAGTTGGGAAGTAACTCAGATAATAGGGAGTTTATATGGAAAAAAAAAAAGTAGGGAGAAAGACTGAAGTCCCAGGAATCTTTCCTGCAAATTTTTTACACTGAAGTTCCTTTTAAAAAAATAACAGTTTGCAGGAAATTCACAGTTGCCATTAGCAATCTGAGTATATTTCTTCACTTTTCTGCTTTTGCTTTTTCTTAAAGAACTCTTTGAATCAATCTTACCCATAGAACAAAAAGAGGTGATTTTCTTTATTCTTCCTTTCTCTTTAATAAGGTCTTGAATTTTTTACCCTAAAGATTACTTCTTAAAGAACAATGAAAACATATGATTCCTAATTAAAATACATCTGTGACTTAACCTTTTAAAAGTTAAATTGTTAGGGTCAATATTTATACTCTGACAGGGAAAAATGCACAAGGCATACTAAAAAAATTCATATAAAACCTATTTTTTAGAGCATATGATCTAAGGACTGGTGTTAGCCATTTATTTGGGAGGGAGCGCCTATGTATATCACCTGGACTTGTGGCTTTTGTGTTTAAAAGTGTTCATTTAAGCATGAATTTCTTTGTAAAGAAGGGGAAGGAAAATTTGTCAATTGCAGTGTTTGGGTTTTCGTAAGGTTTGAAACATTCACCTTTTTCTGTCTTCTTTTTTCCTTCTCTAAAGAGAGACTTGAGAATTCTTAGTTGACTGACGTGCCACACATACGGCTATAGAGGACTCTCTTATTTCCTTGCCTGAAACAGATGCACACATCAGAAACAGGCACATCTTCTGCTTTTAAACTGCCTGTAAGGGTGATTTATTTCTCTTATACTGTTCAACTATTAGGATTGCATTCAGCCCACCTAGTGGTAGAGTGAACACAGTGTATACTGGGCTCTATTACCATGATCAGATTCCACACCATACTTTGGTGATTCGGAAGAATGTCTAGGATGTATTACTGCAAGCATGATGGTTTTACAATAAACTCTACGAAAGTCAAATAAAAGAAAGTGACACACAGGTCACAAATAAGCAGAATTAACAATTTCTCTGTTTTGTTTTATTTTCTGTCAGCCAAAGAGTCTTCTCATTGGTACTCTTGGAATTTTAAATATCTAAATTCTGAAATATTTTGACTCACGTTATTGCTTTCTAAGGAGTTTTGAGTCTGAAGGTACTATGAGAACAAGTATTACCGTCAATAAAGGGTGATTGCTTATCACTTGGAATAGGGAATGGAGATTTGGCAAAGAATATGTCAGCAACATGTTCAAAAGAACGGCTACTGACTGGCTAAAATTCAGAGTAGCTTAAAAATAACTTGCGAGGGTATCTTCAAATTATCTGGCAAAATCATCTTCATGAAAAATGTAACCAAAGGGAAACCAAAAATCCATACTCTAGACCAGCTAATTAAGATGACTTCTGGGGTAAGTAGCACAAACTAGTTTCAGTTTTAAACACTCTCTTCTGTAGGTATGTCTTTGAAATGAAATACAACAGTCTGGGTTGAGCTTCTTGGCACCTTCAATTTGTAGCTTAACAGGCTAGGATGGTTTCGACAAGCCTTCTGGCTGCAAGCCAGGGAGGTGGAGTCATTTACTGGCTAACATGGTCAGTACAGGCAACTAAACTAGAAAAAGAAGAGTCTTCACTTATAAACAGTTTCATAAAGTGTTATGTTTTCTGCATCACAAAAATGCAAGAACCAATTTTATTTTTTGAAAGGAAAATTCTGAGAAGAAAGACCAGGTTAAGACTCATGATTTAGGGGCTGGAATCAGATATGCCCTTTGAAATTCGGATCGCTCTTTTGGAAACTTACAAGTTCAACATACTGGAATTTTAACTAGTGGAGCTTGCTTTAAAAAGTACTAAATACTTGAAACATACACACATAAAACAGTGCTGATATTCTCATGGTACATGTACATATCACCATACTGACTGTTAAAATACTAGTAGACTTTTCTATAGTGAATAGTTACTGTCTTACATACCCTAAAGGATCGCCCTCAATACTCCCATTAGAACTTTTAAACTTTCCATGAACTAGTAACTACAGAGTCAACAACTGGCCTAGACTGGCCTCTCTAACCTGTTGCAGCCTCATGACACCAGTTCTGATGGGCTGGGTAGCCTCATATACATCATTGCATATTTTGAAGCCAATTACTGCTTCAACCACACAAAGCAAAGAACAATTATTCACATCAGAGAAACCTTTCATTTCCCTAAAAGAGCATCAAAAATTCCTTTAAACAACCTTTAGAAAATGGCAGTACTCAAATGCAGAAGTTTTTAGAAAACCATCTGGATGAATTAGGCAAGATCCTTATTTTATTGTCTATTCTGAGCACCATAGATGTCCAATGCATTATCCAAATACCCGCCTCACTGCCCCTCTTCCCTTTGGCGATGGCAGCCTAGCTTTGTTTATGAGTCCATAACAGAAACACTAAACTGCTCAGTATGGAGAAGTCAAGTTCAATCTCTAACTTCTCTTTGATGGATGGACACTGATCTGAATAATCAAAAATAGTTTCTGCTGGGGAAAATCTCTTTCTCTCCTGTTCAAAGCTTCTCTGGGTGCTATTTATACAACACAAAGGCAAACAGTACAGTTTGTAACATGCATGAGACATTTGAAAAAAAAAAAAGAAAACAACTTACTCTTGTGGTCTTGATTTTATTGCCTGTAGCACACATCCATCCAGAATTATCAGGGAGTGTCTTACACTCCTCTCCTTCTAGACAAGGCTCCATCTCACACCACCATTTCCCGATCACAATGGAGGCTGTGCAAAGAAAGGAAACAAGTCTGTTTGCAATTCATCTAACCTGGGCATGAGACTGTGTCCTTCTATAGATATTAATGTTCTGTGAGATGCATTAGGTCCTTTTTAACCTTTCATGATTGGGTAAGAACACTATTAAGAAGAGTAAGATTTTAACTTAAAACATCTTAAAATGCAAATATAATGATGCCATGTGGTTTCATCAAGCTATATTTTGTCCAGAATCTCCTTGTATGATGAAAATATGAAGAATGGGGACATTCACTTTTTAGAGAAACTTCTGTGTTAGTTTTGTAGATCAAGGACTTGGTACTTTTTTTCAGCAAAAGGGACAAAAGGGCTAAATGTTCTTCAGGATGACTGACTGAGCTGTTCTTTCTCAGAAAGGCCAGTTTATTCACCCCCAGCATTAGGGTTTATCTCCCAGCATAGGGCCTTTGAGAATTTAAAAAAAAAATTTGAAAAAAAGAAAAAAATGAATTGACGGAAAGTACAAAAGAAAGCCTGAGAAATTAACACCAACAGTCATAATAAAGGAAACTATATGTTTACAGTCAAAAGTATATTTGATGTGAACTTTCAATGTGTTTCCTTTCAATGTGTTTGAGATGGTATGAGTGGAAATTTTAAAATCTGAGCCTCTGATAAAACAGCTCTACTTTTTAGGGTGACACCGAGATGACCACATTAGGAAGCTGGTGATGAATTTAGTGGCTGAATTTATAGCACACTTTTTTGGATAATAAGATTTTATAAAACTAGAGACTGGATTCACTCAGTACAAATTAAGCAGCTCCAGAGTTTTAATATCTTGAGTGAAAATGATTTCTGCATAAGCATTGGTTATTTCTGAGGATCCTCAAGGCATTTAAGAAAAATTTTATTTTTTAATCAAATTCACCTGGGCTTTTTCATGAAAAATCCTTAACATATCTGCGAGCGTTTCTTTTGTGATACTTTCCAAATGACTGTCTTTACACTGAACTGGAACTCAAGGTCTTTATCTAAAAAAAAAAAAAGTCGCTTTTCAGTCCCTCACATTCCCACATTGTCTCTACCGTGATGTTTTGTTTCAAAACAACAAAGAACCCACAGGACATCTCTTAACATCACGGGGCATTAATGTTAAAATGAAATGGGGTTCATGGTATAGGGAAGCGGGAGCACATTAAAATTCTCTATCCATCCAGCATACATTAGAGGGATCAGACTGCTACCTCAGAAGCAGAATGACTTAAACATCCAGACATTTATCTGCATTTAAATTTCCCTCTTCCACACTTTTCTTATTTCAGACTTCCCCTCCTTTAGAATTCAGTCTTCCTCAAACTTCCCTCTGAACAAAAATTATTCTGCAGGATTACATATGCAAAATTATATCTGTTTTATTATATGGTCAATTTAAAGATTTTTTTCAAGGGTAACTTTGCCTACATTTGATATACACCTTTGGACTAGACCAAATCACAGAAAACACAATTCCATTGGATAGAGCAAGCAGAGGAAGTAGAATCTTGCATATTATTCTATCCATATACAACACAATGTGATATTTTTGAAAAACTCAGACTAAAGCCAGAAAACACAAATCCTCTACCGCAAGGCTCTCCAACCTCTGGACCATGGACTTGTTTCACCTTCAGATCAGCAGTGGCATTACATTGGAAATAAAGTGCACAAAGGGCTTCCCAGGTGGCTCAGATGGTAAAGAACCTGTCTGCAATGCAGGTTCAATCCCTGGGTTGGGAAGACCCCCTGGAGAAGGGAATGGCAACCCACTCCAGTATTCTTGCCTAGAGAATTCCATGGCCAGAGGAACCTGGCGGGTTACAGTCCGTAGGGTTGCAAAGAGTCAGATACAGCTGTTAAACTGTACAGATACAGCTGTAATGATCTTGAATCATCTTGAAAGATTCCCCCCACATCCAGCCCGTGGAAAAACTGTCTTCCACAAAATCAGCCCCAGGTGCCGCAATGGTTGGGGATCACTACTCCAGAGGGTCCAAAATGATTACGAACGCTTTGAATAATTTTCTTTTTAATAGCAGGGTTCAGCATCAGGCTATGGAGAAGAAGAATCTTGTTATGAATTAAGAGGCCTTGTGTGAATTAATAGATTGACAATACTAAATAGAGAAGCATATATTTTGGAAGCAAGAAAAACGTATGTTGTGCTGAAGGGGAATAAAACCAGACGGCAAAGCTTTCAGGAATGTAAGATACAAGTCAGTGTTCGGCAGTGCTTCTTGAGAGCTTCCAAGCTGAGGCTCTCGTCTGGCTAGAGCTCGGTCACACACAAGCCAATGACACTTGCCATCCTTGTCCACTTAAAGCCCACCTAATATTTCAGTATTGTGCCCTGCATCTCGACCATCAAGAACAGAGACCCTCTGATCTTTGATCGGAGGGGAAACTGCCTTTCCCAAAGTTCTTAGATTTAGCATTTGTCCCCCTTCATTCACAGAGGCTCACAGATAATGAACAACTGCTGGTAAGGTCAGCCGTTAGTATCTTTGCCTCTTTCTAAAGGAGCCTGTTCCTCTTCTTCAGGCTGCTCTCTGCCCTCTCACAGATGACCTACTTTGTTGCAAGTTAACAAAGCAGTTTCTCCTCTTTCTCTCAAGCTTTAATATCTCCCGAATGAACACGTAGGCTGTAGGAAAAGGAACGCACCTCAAATCCTGAGTATCACTTTTAATTCAAGTTTATAAAGACCCACTGGCATGGAGGGGAATAGAAAAAGCTTTTTAAGAATAAAAATGTCCCAGATCTGCCGATGGTCTCGAAAAATTAGTATTATAGTTGCCTCTCCTACATGGAGTTTGATGACTTGGTATTCCCTCTGGCTTATTAGAATCTAGTTCATTTTTCTAGGATTGCTTTTCTTAAGATGCTTAGACTTCTGTTGTTTCTGCTTTGTGTATTACACAGTCATTTTAATATTATTTTATGGCCTAGGTCAAAATATAGTTTCTCAATCCCCCCTTTTTAATGAACTCATATTTCCTGAAATGTCTTTAAAAATACTCACAAAGAAAGGATTTAAAAATTGCCTCCTCTTCTCCCAATGTGGAAGCTACTGAAAACCTTCTGAATATTGGACAAGGAATGAACAATTGGATTTAATAAAATGAGCTAATATTAATGCTAGTTAGTTGTTTTTAATAATTTTTCTTACAGAGATAAGTGTAATATTAAAACTGTAAATATAAATAATTCTAAGATAACTTGCATTATAATGGTCAGTTCAATGAAACAAATGATAACTGACATTTCTGAATGCTTCTTGTGTGTCTCTATGTTAGATACTTATAAATGTATTATTTCAGTCTTCAAAGCAATCCTATGAAGTAGATACCATGAGACTGTTCGTTTTTTAGATAAAAAAATAAAGCCCAGAAAGGTTAAGTAACTTTCCCAAGCTTATATAGGTAGAGAAGTTCAGAAATTTATACAAGAATTCAGGCCTGCTTGACCACAAAACCCATGTTTTCCACCATGATAGTGTTAACTCATTTTAGTTTTGAGTTTAAAAATAATAGTTCTCTAAGAAAAACATGTATTGATTTATAAGTGGATGAATGAATTCTCTCTGCTCTATTATTATTGAAAATAAATTTTTTATCAACATGAACACTTGCAGAAAAAAAAACATTCAGTTTTTTGTAAAATTAACTTAAAAAATAATTTGGGAAGGGACAGTTGATCACACTTGTTTCTTCCTAGTCTTAGCTACATATTGCTTCATTTCATTTGTCATAGCATTTTAAGAGAAATTCCCACTAGTGAACACTTTATGAACCCATAAAAAACTTATGAGGTAGATGTCTCACTGCTCTAAGAACTTTTCTCTCTTAGAAGAAATGAGTTAATTAAATATCAGCTGCAAAACCCAACTCTCTCTTACCTGTGGTGATTATGAAAAAGTCCCTTTTAACCCTGGGATTCTGAGATTCTATGAATGCACCATATTCAGGAAAATATCTGATCTTCAACTTTTTCAAGAATGTTCATCTTTCCTTGAGACATCCTTAAAATCACTAAGGCCACTTTAATCATGAGTCTTGATTTTGCCCTTACACCAGGTCCTATTGCTATCAAGCAGAAGAGAGACCATAGAAGGAGAGTGAATCCATTTTTTTGTGATAAATTGTAAGTGGAGCAGAAATCCCATTTTTTTAATTTTTGGGGTTGTTGTTCACTGTGAGGAATTTTCCCATGAAAATAGAATGGGATATAATAAGCAATGGGCTTAATATATATTAAAAAAATACTGTCTAAGAATTGTCCTTTTAAAAAATCATTTCAGTAGATAATGTTTGAGTTGTGGTTCAGCAAATGTTTACTGGGTACTTTGCATGGTCAAAGCTCCCTGATTTGCTGAGAGTGATAAAATAATGAACATGACATAGTCCCTACCCTGAGAGCCTACAGCTTAGCTCAGGGTTTCTCAATATGAACACTACTGGCATTTTAGTATGAATTATGGTAAAGAGAAATAAGTGAATAAAAAGTGCTCCTCCAGTAGTGAATATGATAATGTACTAGAACAGCAGACTCACGATTGGGAGTAGTAGGAAAATAGAAACTCTTAGTAAGATTGTAGAAGTTTCTTAAAGTGAGGAGCCTGAGCTTAAAAAAAAATTGTTTTGTCATTAACTTATTTTTTAAGGAAAGGTAAGTCATTGAAGATTCTTGATTTTCCAAGCAAAGGGAGGACCTATTTATAGGGGTGATTGGGGGAAGATGAATTTGGCAGTGATATGCAAGATGCAAGAAGGAAGAAGCAAGAACCTGAAATACCAGGTAAGCACCGCTGCCTCCAGACGGAGAAGCGACAGGTCTTGACTTCTGGATGCCTGCTCTAGAATTGTGAAGCATGGTAGAGCAGAAAGTGATGTTAGGAACTTCTGGGGAAACACAGTTGCCAGTATCTCAACGAGGTTAATTGTAATCCTAACCACACTGGACACTAATTATTAACTTATTAGCTCATGTGT